TCATACATTTTGCTCTCGCATTCATACTTGATGCTCCTTAAAACACTTAAGCAACAGTATGCGACAGTGTTGCTCTGTAGACTGCAGACACTCGCCAATGTGCGACGAAATTTGCCATGCACCGTTGAAAGCCCAGAGCCAGTCAGGGAGCGACGATGACCACAAACAGCGCTTTGGTGTAAGCTCCGAGAAAAACTTCGTGAATCGCTCTTACCTTACGGCACGCCATGAACAAAAAACAGTCATTGTAAGCTCGCTGGGCGCGGTCGACTCTATCTCATGGAGGTTCAAAGACACGTGTCACGCCCTCCATTCCTGATTAGATAATTTTGGTCCGATTACTTAGCTTCGTGTCTGCCTCCTGCGGCACATGCTGCCGGCACGACGGCTACCAGTCCAACCTGTCTGATAAATTAGCTCAGATGTGGCACGCGATGCGCGAGAGCACCGAGTGTTCCTCGTGGAAGTTACATGCTCAGATTACAAGCAGTCTTGAGTTCACGACAGGTATTTTTAGGATAGCGGCTCACTAAAACACAGCAAAATCAGCTGAACTCGCAAGAGTCAGCCCGACACGGACCAGCGGGGACCACCTTCCGCCACGGACCGGCGGGGACGGACCACCTTCCTCCGCGGACCGGCGGGGATCACCTTCCTCCGCGGGCCAGCGGGGACCACCTGCCGCCGCGGATCAGCGGGGACCACCTCCCGACATGGACCAGCGGGGACCACCTTCCGCCACGGACCGGCGGAGACCACCTCCCGCCGCGGACCGGCGGGGACCACCTCCCGCCGCAGACCAGCGGGGACCACCTCCCGCCACGGACCAGCGGGGACCACCTTCCGCCATGGACCGGCGGGGACCACCTTCCTCCGCGGACCGGCGGGGACCACCTCCCGCCGCGGACCAGCGGGGACCACCTTCCTCCGCGGACCGGCGGGGACCACCTCCCACCGCGGACCAGCGGGGACCACCTCCCACCGCGGACCGACGGGGACCACTGTGGTCACGGTCCGGGCGCGCCCGGGGCATGTCCAGCGAGGCCGAACCGACCGTCGCGCCTGCGTGACGACCAGCAGCCGTCGTCGGTCAGAGCTCCCAGTCAGGCGATTAACCAATCGCGGGCCGCGGCTACACCGGCGGACCGAACCAGGCTCCGAAGACCACGGCCCAGGGGTCGGGACGGCTCGGCACGCCATCGGTGGAGGGGTTTAGACCACTCGCCGATGCACGGAGAAGCCGCAGTCATTCATCATAGGTATTGTGCGGAAGACCAGAGGCAAGAGACCATGCTGGCAGCACGAAAACCCTAGATGTTATACGAGATAAGGCTGTGTTCTCCAAGCGTGTGACACATTTGTCTGCCATCATACCAAAACGCGCGTGAGTAGTGTTATGTCAAACACCTGTCCTACACATCAGACACGAAGTCCCGGACCAAAGCCGGCGAAAAACTCCGAACCCTGCCTTCCCCGTCATGCGGCCCAGGGCTTCACGCCGCAGTCAGACCCCCCCCCCCCCCCCCCCCCCCTGTCACCCAACCTTGGCATTGGTCCAGCCATCGGTCAGTGGCCACCCGATCTGCCCGATCTGCGCGCGAGGTCATCAGACAGGGGGCGTCTCCGGAACGCGTATCGGTTCGGCGGGGCGGTGACGCCAACTGCCCTGGCGCGAAACAAAACCTTGTGCGCAGTTGTCGCACACAAACGTGGCACATGTTACGGCGGTCAGTTATGGTACAAAATACTGCGCTTTACCCCGGGAAGGTAACGTGGCAAGCTGGTAACATCAGCAAGCATTGGCGATTAAATCATCGCTCATCGACTAGCAACTGAAAACAGATAAATGTGTGCATAAGCGAGTGGTCAGGCGTTCAGGTTGTGGATACTGCTGTGGCAGCAGTGTAGCACAGCTGACTAGTTATTGGACTGCAGGTAGGGCACTCCATTATAAAATATTGACTTAAAGACTATATCATCATACACATTGCCACTGGTTGTGACTAATGATGTGATAGATGATTGCGGATATAAACTTTTGCTGCGGCAGGACTGACTGCGTTCGAAATTACGTACGGGGACATGTTCCCATCTTGTGGCATACGATTTGATGTGTTCAATTTCTTAAAGCAATATTAACAATATTTCAACTTGCTCTGCTATGTCACATATTGCTAGTTTGCTGCACAATCACCAAGTGGAAAATTGTGCTAATATAACCATCGTTCACAACATCGTTATTCACTCTCGCTGTTACATCATGCAAGACATTTGCTAGCAAGTCCACAGCGATTTGCTTCTACCTGCATTCACTCTGGTTTCCTTTCGTACCTCCAATGGTGTGCTTCAGTGACGCCGTTAGTTCAGAATGGATTTCCGTATCATATGCCAACATATTTATATGCGTCATTCACCATCGCGTACGCTAGAAAAGGCCACGATGCTTGCTTTTGTGGACGAATCGAGTGTAAGTGTAATTAAATACGACTCGGTTCTTTTGAACGCGTAGTTCTATGGAAGCTCTCTCACGCGGTAACGACATTGAGCGCTGGTAGGATTAGATCATCCCAGTCAATGAAGGATGTAAGGCGTGCAGAAACACATCGCTGATCCCGCCTGTTATTCAAATCGGTTTGGATTTCAATGCTGTCTTGAATTCTCACCAGCATTTTGGATTTCGGTCCCTGTCTTGCATTGTAAAAACTTGCATGAGCAAAACGTTAGAACTAATTTTAAAATCCCGGTAACAATGAATGCTGCAAATACCCTCGTTAGTAATATGTGACACTGCAGAGACAGGCAGGCCATTTTGCCACCACATGTTGACAAGGCATGAAAGCCTGCAAGAGTCTATATGTGGTTCATTCTAACGCTTGGCGACAAGCGTGAGGCAGCGGAAGCATTGGCAGCATGTGAGCCTAAATGACAATAGTCAACGTTGCGGGTGCTTTAAATGTGCTTCACTTCTTAAAGTACTCAGGACACCCACCACTTGGGCATGCTGTCATCTTAAAGAGTTGGATTTCATACCAGAGGGACATTCGGTTTCAGCTGGAAACGGAGTGACGTCAGGGTTTCAAACGCTGTACTGTGCCTCCATGGGCTTGTAAAAAAAGCTAATTTTCCAAAGGCTTCAGAAATATTTAGGCACGAGGCCAGACAAAGTCCTCAAATATCTACGGAAACCAAGGCCAAAAATAAGTTTGCGCCGGTGAGAGGTCAATGCCAGTTGTTTGACACATTTTACAAAGTGCATTGACCCCGATAGTCAATGCATTAGAATGCCACTGTACGTTACTGTCCGGGTTTCCTACCACTGTAAACTCACGCACAAAAAGGAATGTCATTCATAAAGCCAGGTGACGAGCTCTTGATTTTTCGGTATGATGAGTTCAGAGCTCTTGTGCTGACAGTCATCGCCCTTCAATGTACAAGAGGCATTGGAAATATACCGGTGCCTCCTGGTATACTGAAGGGTGATACTGACAGCAAAACAATTCTGCACTCCGATACACAAACATTAATTTCGTTCAGTGCCTGTGATTCGAGATTACTTCGCATGGACTAGTCCGTGAAAAAAAACACATTCACACGTAAGGTTAATAATTTCCAATAATTACCAACCAAGTAAAGACATGTGAACTTTGGTGGGAAGGTTCAGAAATCGATGCTCTATTGGATTTTGTGACAATGGCGGCTACGTTATCGCCATGCGTAGATACCTAAAGCTGCAGAAGCAGATGGCATACAAGGCACGTGAATAAAACAGACAGGCACACGCCATTTTTCGAATCATATTTGTGGTAAACAAACCTCTTCCTCAACGCCCTACGTACCTCTTCTTGAGCGTTTACCCAAGCGAAACCATACTAACAGAAAAAGTGCGTGAAATACGAACAGCATAAGCATGACAGCCTTGAGGTAAAGCTCTTATCAAAACAATTTGTCCTAGCACACACTGTATGCGTGTTAAAGCGTTTGAGTGCTCTGCTTTCTAGCGCTTCGCCACATTTTTGCTGTAAGATCTGTGCGGGTCGTAGTGGAGACAAAATCATAATGCAAAAAGAAACTGGAGAAAAAGTCCGCTGACATGACCGGTGAAGAGGTCCATACTGTCTTTCCGAGGCTTAACAAAAAACAAGCTGCGGGCGCAAACAGTGGGGGTGATGAAACAACCGATGACCTTCTTGCTTCAAAGATATTGGTGGTAGTGAATCCAGATGTGCACCCAGAAGAGGCAGATGAGGAAGCACGAGATGTTCCGGAAATTCTCCCGACGCAAGGCTCATGGTCAGATGATGACAATGCTCAGAGCGAGGCGAGCGTGGGCAACCATGACAGAGTCAAACGCATTCTGCTGCGGAAAATACTGCAGAATGCCTACCCTCAGCAATAAAATTCGAAGCACGCACGGTGAGGAACAGGAACCGAGCTCAGCCAACGCAGTTTGGCCGTCACCTCTGCATAGCGTTTTGTGTGAAGCTGTTGCTCACCATGGGGAGCACTGACTACATATTTGGACCGCAGCTGGCATGGCATTACGGAGGGCTAATGTACTACGTGCCCGTAATGCTTGTGCTCTGTCTGTCATCGCTGCCCATACACATTCTTGAGTGCATTGCTGGCCAATACGCAGCCAAGAGCATGACTTCATTCCTGCCTCAACTGGCACCGATCTTTCGCGGTCTCGGTTACGCGACACTTATCGTTACTATGTTCACCACTGTGTACATCATGCAGAATTGTGCCTGGATTGTCGTGTACACGATCTACTCGGCCCAAAACACGATACCCTGGCGCACGTGCAGCCATCGTACACTCGAAATACTGCTACACCCAGGCGCTTCAGAGCGAGTGCACCAGGACGTCCAACTACTCCATCTACTTGACTTCCGGTGCAGGTCGCCCGGCCAATTCTGTGCCTACCACGGCTTCGCCAACTCCACGGCACGCACTGCTTTAACAAGCCGCAGCGGCCTACGCCCGCTCCACGCTGGCTCATGGACCAGCAGGGGACCTACCAGACCAACGTCACCGACGACTGGCCCGTTGCTGGTCAGGCGACGCCCGTCGGTCACGTCGGCCGCCGTCTGATCTCGCAGCGTGATTTCTTCTACTACTTCGTGCGCGACAGACCGAGCAACCACACTCGCGCGGGCCTCAAGGAGCACCGGCGCGCCGTCTTCACGCGCAGCTACCTGCTCGCTTGGCTGCTCGCGTTGCTGCCCTGCTTCAGCGTCTGGCTCTCCTCGTGGGTCGCGGTGCTGCTGTGTGCTGCTCAGCCCGGTCGTGGTCCTGCTCCTTCTGTCGTGTGTTGATCTTCCCCGGCTCCTGGGCCGGCATCGCCAACTTCTTCTACGGGCGCGCGCACCTCGCCACCCTCATCGACCTCAACTGCTGGGTCGATGCCATCAGCATGACGTACTGGAGCGTCAACATAGGCGGGGGCCTGAACCCCGCGCTGAGCTCGCGCAACCGGCTGCGCCACAACGCACTGCTCAGCTCCGTCATCGTCGTGTTCTCTGATTTGGCGTTCGGCGTCCTCAACAGCATGGTGCTGTTCTCTGTGCGCGGCACTCTCGAGGTCCGCTCCGCGTTCATGTACGGGGAGCTGCTGGAGCTGGACGACGACCCGCAGGCGCTTACGTTCGTCGCCTTCACCACCGTCGTCGAGATGATGCCACACCAGCGCTTCTGGGGCGTCATTTACTTCGGCACGATGCTGGGGCAGACGGTGGGCTCGGTCGCCATGGTCGTCATCGCCCTGGGCCTGAGCCTGGTGGACGCGGTGCCGTTCTTCGGGCACTTGGCGTTCCCGCTGGCGGCGCTGACGGCCTACTCGCCAGCGCTGCTCCTCGGCGCGGTTGTCGGCCTCGGCACCTGGTTTGGCTCCGAATGGTCCTGCTTCTCGCTCTTCCAGCTGCAGTGGATCGTATGCAACATGCTGATCGCCATGGTGCTCGGTCAGAAGCTCTCGAAGCCGGCATTCCTGACCGAGACCAGGGAGCTCCTGCATCAGCCGCTCGGCCGCAACCTCGGACGCTTCTTCGTCGTCAGCTGGCTCGTCATCACGCCCTTCATCACCGTCTTCCAGATGCTGTACATGATAACGCACTTCCAGCTGCCGCCCGTGCGCCCCGGCTCGCACTGGTTGATGGCGCTGAGCTGGGTGGCGGTCTCAACGCCGCCTCTGGTGACACTCGTGACCACGGTGGTGGTGTGCCGCAGCACCAACACCTGGGCGCTGTTCGCCACCACCGACCAGTTCCGGCCGGATCCGCAAGCGCTAGTCGAGCTTCAGAGTGCCGCCACGATCGGCCTGGAGACGTACGTGGACCAGACGTCCAGCGGCAAGGTCAGAGGTCCGAGGTCAGAGTCAGCAGCTTCCCCCTCCCAGCATGAGGGTCCTCGCTCTGAGCTGCGAGGATCTTCGCTCTGAACGACGGAGGACCTGTGCTCTGAACAGCGGGGGGTCCTAACTATTAACGGCAGAGGGTGCTCGCTCTGAACGGTGGAGGGTATTCGCTCCGAACGGCAGTGGGTCCTCGCTCTGAACGGCGGGGGGGGGCATAGCTCTGAACGGCGGAGGACCAGTGCTCTGAACAGCGGAGGGTCCTAGCTCTGAACGGCGGAGGGTGCTCGCTCTGAATGACGGGGGTACTCGCTCTGAAAGGCGGAGGTCCTGTGCTCTGAACAGCGGAGGGTCCTAGCTCTTAACGGCAGAGGGTGCTCGCTCTGAACGCCGGGGGGTCATAACTCTGAACGGCGGAGGACCTGAGTTCTGAGCGGCGGAGGACCTGAGTTCTGAGCGGCGAAGGACCTGCGCCCTGAACATCGGAGGATCCTAGTTCTCAACGGCGGAGGGCTCGCGCTCTCAACGGCGGAGAGCCCGCGCTCTGAGCAGCGTGGGCCCCGACGCCGATCGGTGTGTCTGGCTGCTGAGGCGTCGCGCTTAAAATCATTGCTGACCCTCCAGTGCGAATGACGCCTCCTTCCCGTGGGGCGCGTCAAATTGTTTAATGCACATGATATGTCCCTTTGTATATGTGAGTGCACATGTGTCTTGGAAAATTCTATGACCTGTAGTTCACCATTGGGGGGTGTAAACAACTGAATTAAACCCCGTCCTCTTTTCTTGTGTTTGTTGCCCGGACTGGACTTCACTGAATCGGACTCAACGCTGGTATATGCACGTATGCGGCGAGATACGTGGGCCATCTAAACAGCAGGAGATTCTTTCCAACCACCAGTTCCAGCCAATATAACCTTGAGAGTAAGCGCTTCTCGTTATCAGAAATATAAACCTGCGGACGGTAAGAACTATGACCATAAATGGAAGACCTGATGTGGGGCGGGGGAGGGCTACCATTGGTTACTCTCGCAAGAGAACCTATAATCAACATCAAGGAACCGAACGAGGCCATATGTCCAGGTTCACGTGAAGGAAGGGACGCTGTTGCATTTAAGTACCGCATGATTCGTGACGATTCGGGCACAAAGTGCGGATATTTGCACGACCATGAAATGACTCGCTGCCACGGCTTAAGTGTGGACAGTGACGGACGTCATAGCTATTCAATATTCCGCCTGTTGCTCTAGCTCTGGTGTCGTGTCATTGGGGCTTTACGACGCACTCAGCTGCTGAGGCTATATGGCGCCGCCTGCCTCTCACCCTGGCAGGAAAGGTGGTGTACCGCTGGGAATCAAACCCCGTACCTCTGGTTTCCCAGACGTGCAGTGGTTTACGCAGACGCGTTAACCACTACACTACCGGCACCCCTCTAGCTCTGGTCGTCACCGTCAGTTGCTTGCGCACCTGGAAGGATCTCCAGCCTTCTCCCAGCCCGCATAACATTACGTGATCTTCTCTGCAATCGCCGGAGCCAACAGCAATCCAAACCGCACTGTCACGGCCGTTTGCCGCGACCGTTCCACGCACCGCCCACTGCTCTGCGAGGCCGGCGGGTGCCATTTTGGCCGCGCGTCGCCCGTTTACCCGGACAGCGTTTCATCAGGAGCGCCGAGTGTCACGCGCTGTCACAACCCGCCGCCCCCGGAGAGAGTGTCACGCCCGGCGGCGCGCCGTCACGCCAGGTCACGGCGGGTCACGCCGCCCGCGGCCGCGCCTGGTGGCCGGACGGTCCGCCCGGCCGCCGGCTCAGCACGGGAGCGACCACTGCGGCCGAACGTGCGGGCACTGTCGGAGCCGCGGACTGGAGGTGCGTTGATGGTTTGAGAAGAGTGGCCGTGGCTGATTTCAGGCCGTTATGGCTTGACGCAAAATGTTTTCAATGAATGAATGTACGTGCTTTCGCCCGGAGACACGTTCGGGTTTCAGCACCGAACAATCACGCAAGCGTCATCGAAACGAAGCCACAAACATGCCGATTGGCTGCGACTGTCGCATCGAAGCATCTCAGCCAGCCCATGATCTCCGTACGAAGCCCAATGGCGCGTGACTCCCAGCACGCGGCGCTTTCATTGCGCAGCCACCAGCACCGGACCAGACCTTCCCACGCCCACGGGCGCCGGCAGCCGCGGCTGTTCGGCAGCCGCTCTCGGCGCTCGCCGCCCGTCGGGCAGCGTTGACGGCACTTGCAGTTTCACCTGGCTCGGCGGAATCTCCTGGGCGTGTCGGCCAGGCGGCGGTGCCGCTCGCGGGCGGCGCAGACTGCGGATGTAGACCGTGACCAGGCGCGGCAGAGGGGGGGGGGGGGGGGGGGAGCGCCCGGAGGGCTGGGGACGGGGACGGAGAGGCGGCGGCGGTGGCGGCGGCGGCGGCGGCGGGGGTGTTTCAGGACGGACACCGAAGCCATCGCGAGGGCTCGCAAACGCTGGCGCGGAACAAGTTTATGAGCAGGAGGTGTACCTGCCCATTTGTGCCGCGGCAGCTTTTGCATAGGGACAACTGGGATGTCGTAATAGAAAAATGCATCCCGACACACTGCACAGCCGGGCTAGCGTTGAACTAGACCCTAGAGATTCCTTGTCGTCACTGTGAGGGTAGATAACAGGGAGGCTGGATATGCACAGGGAACTAGTTACGCATCTGCTGATATCCAACATTTTCACTAGCTGTTCTGAAAGGTCAACGATTCCAACACGCATCAGTCCTGGCGACATTAGAGACAGCGTGCTCTTTCCAAATGTCAATGCCCTCACACTGGCCGGTTAAAGGACTAGGGTCGCACACCCCCGCCAGCACGGCTGATCAGCCTCACAAGCTGAGCAAGGTTGCGTCTGCCGTAGGGATCGTTTGATGGTGTCTTGCCATTGGACAGCCCGCACGAGGACATTGCATGGCACTGCTGTCTACTGTCGGCTTAATTACGCAGAAGCTGACCAACGACAGCGACACGCACACCACGACCCCGCGTATGCTGCGTCAACATACTCCACAGCAGAGCGGGCCCGTGGCGATATTTCTGAATGAACACTGAACCCTGCGATCCTGGACGTTTTGATGGTTCCTCTTTCTGACGGTTCCACGATGGCCACGGCGGGTGCGTGGACACACGGGTGGCGCGTGCACCACTGCCGCTGAGACCCCAACAGGTGGAGGCGCAGACACCGGCGCCGCGCCTCATGCTCCACATAAAGGCGGCCAGATAATGACGATGGGAAACTCCCCTCTTTGAGCATTCATCGTTAGAACGCGGCGTAATGTTTTCGTTGCGGTCGGCGCATTGCAAAACCGACTGACATTGAACGATACCTCTGGCGCACGGACTGGCGGAAATAATGGGATTGGCGGGGACGCCCAGTTGCCAGTCACGCTTGGCAGTGATGGCATATTCATGGAAACAATGACATGTTGAGAATGAAAATATCCCATCACAAAGCGGCCAATACATTCGCCAACGGTATTCGTTGGTGCCCTAGTACTACGAGGCTGCAAGTCAGTCATGCGACGCATGTCGGCCCACCACTGAGCCTTGTTAGAGACCGCGCAGCGGCGACAAGGCGCAAAGCTGGCAGGTAGAGCCCTGGACACATACCGGGAGACTTAATACTAGCACAGGGCGTCAGGCTGGCGTTGAGTGTAGAGCGTCATGATAGAGGCACAATGCAACACGGGGAGACACCGGCAGAGCTCAGACGACTCCACGCAATCGAGCCAGTCCAACCACAGCGAGATCTCTCCAAAGCCAGGCGCCGGGTCAACACCAGTCACATCATACTCTCGTTATGCCCGGCCGGCCGCCCACGATCGCTTCCGATAACTCATCGAGCGAAGGGTCAGCCAACTCACCACCCTCAGATTGCACCTGCCAACCCGTCAATTTACGGGGCCGCATCTCTGTGGTCGGACGTCCCGAACCGATCATTCAGTTCGTGATCTCCCCTACGCTAACGATCTCGTACAATGTGGTGATGATGATATGTTGTTGTTGTTCATTGGAGTTTTCAGGCGCGTCGACTGCAGTGGTCATTTTGCGCCCATAACTATGCTGTTACTTAATTAGTACGGTGTGAAAATGACTTCAAAATCAATATCCTTTAAAAACGAAAAGAGCTGTTTGGGATCAAGAAAGGAGGAACTGTCACCAAGCACATCGTTAATCGTCAGGGTCGAAGCCTGTGAACCAAAGTGACGTCGTCGTCTTCGATGAGGCACGGACATGATATAATGACATGATGGACAGTGAGGACGGCACCACGCCGCTGGCATAGGGTCTGTAGGCTCCGATGATGATCATGTAGTAACGTGATCTCTACCACGCTAACCACCTCCAAACAGCAGGGAAGACCAATAGCCGGCACGACCACATATAATGTGCGATACCTCATGCCAGAACACGCATCAGCCAAATGTCACTGCGCCAGAAGCTCAGCACGCGCCAGCACGCCTCCGACTTACCTGTCGGCCGGTCCAACGCTCACGAGAACCCCCGTCCACCAATCGATCACGAGCGCTAATCCACGCGCGTCGTGCGACTCAACACGTTTCCATGACTACCGGCCGCCGGTCCACCGCACCCCAACCCGTCGGCGGCACTCCACGGTCTGACACCACCGGCGCGCTGCCCCCAAGTCAAGCCGACGGCGACGCTAGCGCCGCAAGAGCGCAGCGGCCGGGGCGACAACAGCAGCTCGCGTGGGGCCACTGATACCCGGCTCCCGCGCAGCTTGTCAGTGCAAAACTACCGATGAGTTTCACCAGCACGCAATCGATGCTGCATTTCGCGATGCTTTGGTGCCCGGGCACGCATACGGCCAAATAAGACTTGTCGCAGCCGCTGAGCTGCGCCTGCATTTGCACGCACCGGCACCCCGCGGTGAAACACTGCTCGGGCTTCCGTTCGGACACGTGTGCACTTCACGCAGCATGACTGTCAGGTGTGGTACTAAGCGCCCGTACCACGCCACCCAGTTCCGTCAGGCAAGGCCGTCAATAAATCTAAGCACCAAATATGCCACCGATGCTTCCCATACCTCCTGTTTCCCCACCTTCGCAACATTAGCCATGCCCGCTCGGTCGGTTTCTCCTACTGGTCCCATACATTAGTTTCCCCGTTCAGCCAGTTTCGCAACATTAGTTTCTGTTCACTTCCTGTCTTGTGGTCATGAGACCCACCCCAGAGCTCCGCTCAAACGACCGGCACCTTCAGGGATCTGCTTGGACCAGACCGGTCAGACGCCTATCTGATCCGCCGCTCCGTCCATCACAGCTCCACCTCCCCAAGCAAACAGCTCATTCCAACAATAATCCGTGTATTGGTCGGTAGCCTCTCGCCTAAACCTTGCTCTGAAGCTCAGCCGCCTTGGCCTTCTCCAGCTTAGCCAGCTTGGCGCGAGACTTGGGTCCGAGCAAGCTGCCACCCCAGTGACGCCGGATCTCGTCGTAGCGGTCGTTGTAGTTGGTCTTGACCGCCTCCACCAGCTTGCTGAGCGAGTTGCGGTCGGACGACTCCACCTGGTGGCCAAGACCAGAGGTTATAACTCGCCCATACGCCGACAGGAAAGAGCGACAGCAGACACGCGTACTCAGTGTTAAAAAGCTCGATTGTGTGGTTCCCCACGGCATTGTCGGGTGAAGAAATTCATCCCATCATGGTCATCGCCGGCCCGCTGACACCACCCCTCCCACGTCCTCTGCGCCTCACCTGCGCCAGGCAGAGGGCGGCGCACGTCTTGCGGCGCACCACCTGGCCGAGCCGGGCCTTGCCCTTGACAATGCAGTAGGGCACGCCCATCTTGCGGCACAGCGCCGGCAGGAAGAGCACGATCTCCAGCGGGTCCACGTCTGCGCGATCACCACCAGCTGCGCCTTCTTCTGCTCCACCTGGCGGCGGCCGAGCACGCCGTCGTAAGCACCGGGAGCGGACGGAGCGCACGCGCACAGCAGCTGGTCATGGTGTGCTCAGTGTTAAAAAGCTCGTTATTTTGTTCCCCACGAGGTCGTCGGGTGAAGAAATTCATCCCATCATAGCCAGACAAAACGCACGGCGACGCCGCAGTGATTAAGCACGGGCATCGCGGAGGGATCAAACAACGCCGCCCAATTTGAAATGCAATGCCCAGCGTGGACTCCACCTCAGCCCGAGCCCGGCCCGTAACCCCGGCGACGTTGTCCGACCCCATCCTCGCACCCGCCGACACAGCGGCCGGGACTGCTCACCAGTGACGTGACAGTGCACACTCCCTGCCGCACCACTGCCGGCCGCTTGGTCGGCTCGTCCTCCTTGCCCTCGGCGCGAGCCTTGGCACGCTCGCGCAGCCGCTCTTTCTTAGACTGGCGCGACTCAGGCCGGTACTTGTCCAGCAGCTTGAACAGCTGGGTGGCTATGGGGTTGGGGGTGCAGTTAAAGCAGGTAGTGAGGCATGTCGACCAGTAGATGGCACCAGGTGTTGTCAGAGATCCTTGTGGAATAGCTTAGTCATTTGACTCCTGGAGCTTTGCAAGTGTCATCACCTAACATTTAGTCTCTCAACATGAACTAGCACATCCATGCAAAAACTGAGAATGAAGAGCACTTTACCTGGCTGCTTTGCACAAATTTGCACATCACTGCCCATGTTTGAGCTTAGTGCACCAGTGCACATCATGACCCACACTGGGGCTTAGTGCACCACCAGCACATCATTACCCGCATTTGGGCCTAGTGCACATCTCGCACATCATTGGCTCCCATCGGAGCCTAGTGCAGCGCGTCGCACGCGGGCAGATCTGGCGCCACCTGTGGAGCCGAGCCGCCAGGACGGTGCCGGGCCGGCCGCACGGCGCCCGTCAGACCCCCGCAACCCCGGCTGGGGGCACGAAGGCCGGGTCGCGGCCGGCCGGCGGTCCTCCGGCGCTCCGTGCATATCATCGCACGCCCGGGCGCGCGGGCGGCCTAATGCACACCTGTCTGCTTGTCCAGTGTCTGCTTGAACTGGTTGATGGGCGGTGGCACGCGCAGCCGCTGCTGCAGCACAGCCTTCTGGCGCTGCAGGCGCACGTAGCGCGGCCAGCGCACGAAGTGGGTGAGGTCGCGGCGCGGCTGGATATCGCCACCTGGTGGGCAGCAGGGCACGGCATCAGACACGGCACCAGGCGGCGGGCACGCGGTGTGGGACGAGCAGCGTCAGAAACGGAATGTGTTCAA